AGATACAGATGAAAAATGCAGAAAAAAGGAAGAAAGAAAGTATGTAAATATTCTCATAGAATTACTTACAATAAATCTACACTTTACCGTATTCCCAGTAAAAGAAATCCTTTCTTTGTTAAATGAATGAAACAATTATTGGAAACAGAATTCGATAGTTTAAAATGAAGGCAGTTTTCAGCATCTTAGTGTTTTTTAAAATGAACTAATTTCCATATGTGGTGGACAAAGAGCTATCGGGGATTTACTTGGTTTAAACTATATTTTCACTTTTTTTTCTGTATTAATAAAAAAGAGAGATATATGTTTCTTGCTATAATAGCGAATTTTGGCTTTTATAAATGACGTATTAAAGCACATTGTTAGTAATTAATGTTAACAATTTTAAAGTATATATAAAATTTTTCTACTTAATTATTTTGTAGTAAAAAAGGAAGAATATATTATGTTTTTTGGAATAAATGTGCATTTACAAAAGCTTTCTACTCAAATATTATATATGGTAGAAATAGGTAAGATTTTTTAAAAATTTATTCTTTTTTTGTATTTTACACATTTATGTAGATAAAAAATTTATTGTGGATCGGCAAGTCAACTCAATAATCAATCAATCAATCAAGTCAATATACCACGTAAGAAACTGGATAACCCCAATTTAAGATCACTTTTGACAAAATTTTATAAATTTAACATACAGCAGGAGTCAACTGTATGTAAAGGTCGTTTGCAAAAAAGTGAACGAATAAAAAACTTTTATTAAAATTTTTTTTTGTTTCATTTTTATTTGTTTAAATAGGACTGTGGCGTAGGTAAATAATTATACGATTTCTGAACACTGATGTTCATAGTTTTAATAATGCATATTTGCATTTTACAGATTTTATGTATTAAAATATGGTGTGGGTTTTCTGCCTGCATTTTTATCTATAATTTTTATTATTATTATTTAATATGGTATACGTGTTTTAACCATTGTTCTGTGTGTCTGTTTTTTGTCATTTTAACAATTATATTAATGGTAATTATTCTGTTTTAGCATCTTTCTGGTATCAAGTACCCGAACTAGCTCTGTACTGCTTAGCAACTGTCAAAAACATTAGCTTTCTGAGAGAGGCAAAGAAATCAGAATTGCGCGGGCAGCGATGACGTCGCTAATCTTTTCTAATAAGTCGGACCTTGGCGAAGATAATTTTCCATTCTGTCTAAATTCTGGACTGCGACGGGAACTATAAATATTTAGGAGGAGCGAAACGCGTGGGGCAATTTACGGGTTACGGCTCTTATTTTTTACGTCTTTTATGATTTCATTTCGAAAATAATCGGTATTTTCCTTTCGCGACCGGAGAACGAAATCAAAAGGACGCCCTTAGACCAGTCTGGGTTATTCTACCTGGGACCGTTCTTCGAAAGGAAAAGAAACTTTTTTTCCGTTTGGGATTTATAGGTATACGTTGGATCTACCGATATAATTAAAACAACGGCATATAACAATGTTGTTTGTTTTTTTTTTGGCGACGGAAGAAAGTCTCGCCTACAGGGTCCGCCAACGAGCATTGAACCTCAAAACGAAAGAGCCACGCCGTGCTTCTTTTGTTTTATGAAAATTTAAAAATTTCAATGGGTGATTTTGTATGATATGCAAAATGTTAGTTCAATCTTAATTAAAGAGTGTTTTCTAATTGAATGTCAGTAATTAAGGGGTGACTTTTAGGTCCATTCTAAAAAAAAACTTCATATGAACATATGTCCTTAACGTTTTAACTTCTAAGATACAGGGTGCTTAAGTTTTCAAAAATAAGTTATATTATTTTCCGTAATACCACTTTACACACGTACCATGTACCAAAAGGCATTATTTAGTGTAAAACAAAATTTTCCATAATACACCACGTACGGAATTTCACCTGCATATTTTGGCAGACATTGTTGGCACGCCACTGATTTCTCTAAAAATAAAAATTATTCTTACATTCTCCAATCATTTATAAAGAAATTTAATTTCTCGATTTTTTTCAACCCGATGTACGGTTTTCGCGTAAAAAATAAAAACCTCTTCTCTGTATGGTCATAAGAATATCGATAATATGACAGCATGCAGAGAAATTAGTTTTTATTTTTACGCGAAAACCGTGCTCATAGTTGAATGCAAATGTCATTATCCTTTAAAGTAAATCAGTGGCGTGCCACTGACTGTCTCTGGTTCATGAGGCTTGGCACTGTTAAATTGAGAACTGTTTTTGTGAAAAATAAAATATCTATCTAAAACAAAATATCTAGTTTCTAGTAACCAACTAGTTTCCCTCAAATTATTTGAAGACTGTTATTTTTACTTTTACAGTTTGAGTGAAATAACATAACATCCTAACCACAAGATAACCAATAAACAATTCTTATTTAAATTTATTTTATTTATTTCCGTATTTCGTATTCATACTTCAATTTTTCGAAGTATTTTAATAAAACAGATAAACAATTACTAGTTTTAAGTTATCAACTAGTGACTTTGAGAAAAAAAAACGAAGAGTGTTCTTTTTTGCTTTTACGGTTCAATGAAATAACATTCTTCAACTACTGTTTTTTGGGAAAAAAAACGCCACCCCTATCAATAATTTTTAACAAAGTTGTATGTTAATAAATTAAGAAAAACATTTTTGAAAAAATGTAAATCATAGAAACTAGATAAGCAGAATACACACTTCAGCTCTTTTCCTCATATTGGTGCGCACTCTTTGGAGGATGTCTCCAGTGTTTCTTACTAAATCGCTGGAAGCTCTTCCACAGTGTTCATTAGGGTTCGATAAACCAAACTTCTAAGATGCGCCCAAAAGAAATAATCCAAACTATTTCAATCTGGGAACCTAGGGGGCCATTGTTGAGGTCCGCCGCGACCTATCCATCGGTTATTAAATATGTGCAATGCATAATTTTGTCCAAAAAGTATTGACACAAATTAACACGCAAAGGAAAATCTCTGGGAAGTAAAGCTTGGACTCTTTGAATATGATATGGTTATAATAGAAAATAGTCCAAAATTTTCCAAACCAAGACGTGCGAGATATTGAGATTATTTCCAGTTTTTCTAGGGCTAAGTTCAGAATTTTCATCAATATAATTTAAAACTGCTTTTTCTATTTCTGAAGTTTTTACAGCCCGATGGGCCTCTTTTAAATGACTATTTGCCCTTAAAGTACCTGTTTGATTTGGTGTGACTCTATTAGGAAAGCGCTCTTGATATAATCGCCTAGCTTCCGGCCCACTGCCATCAGCGAAATGCACATCTGGCAAATTCTCATTCGTAAACTCGACCATTCTTTTTTCAAATAACTTCTTCTTCTTCAAGTGCCTATCCGTTCCGGATGTTGGCGAACAGCTTGGCTATTTTTACTTTGTTGATGGCGATTCGGAAAAGTTCTGCTGATGATTTGTTGAACCACGTTCTAAGGTTTGCTATCCAAGATATTCTCCTGCGATCCGGGTCTCTCTTACTGTTAATTTTGCCTTGGAGGATTTGTTGTAATAACTCATATCTAACTGTGACTAAATGTGACCGAGATACTGAAGTTTCCGACATTTTACGGTATCAAGCACTTCTGTATCTTTATTCATACGTCGCAATACTTCTATGTTGGTAATTTTTTGTGTCCAAGATATTTTCAATATTCTCCTGTACAGTCATAGTTCGAATGCTTCCAGTCTCTTAGTGGTTTCTTTAGTGAGTGTCTAAGTTTCTACGCCACACAGAATGACCGAGAACACGTAGCAACGCAATAGTCTGAGTTTCATGTGTTAAGGACCGAATGTGACTATTAAAAAGCGAGCTCATTTTAATAACAATGCTCGCATATTGTAAACACCAAATTCATAAGACGCAAAGAACTGAATTTAAAAACAGATGTCAAACAACCTGATTTCTACCAATACAAGGTGTTTTCTTATCGAATATTAATAATTAAGGGAGCGATTTATAGCTTCATGGAATTTTGATTAGTTGCAGTGGGGAAATATCATTAGTTTCTTTTTTTTCTATTTAACTGCATTAGTATCTCTAACGGTGTCCGGGACTCCAATAGTCTCCTTCGAATTTGGAAAAACCTGTAATAATTTTAGTAACAATGTATGGGTAATAAAAAACAAAAATCGAGCCGTGTTTTTCGAAAGACGAATTTGCCTTATTTTTCTATTACGCCGTTGCCGTTCCAGTTTAGACGGAGTGCGCCGGGATGCCATGACCAGAAATATTGTCTTTTTACAATAGACCCCGTAATTAACTTTGCCTGTTGTTATTTCTTCTTATATGCGCTTTCAGCTCAGACCAAATCATCTCAATCGGGTTAAATATGCAATGATACGGGAGTAATCTCAAGATTTCGTGTCCGTTTTGTTGTGTTTTAAAAAAGGCTGTTGTGGTTTACAAAACGAAGAACTATGTAGGAGACACAAAAATACAAGAGGAAAAATGTTGTCAATCGACAAGCGCACAAGACAAAAACGATTATTTTAAAACTTGCCTTTAAGATAGAGTATGGGCACTTACCCTTACCCTTTGAACTACCCAGTGAAAACAGCCTCGGAGGGTGAAAATTCGAGAATCAGGTACATAAATACGTACTTACTGGAAGGATCACAGTCAAATACCTCCGTAATATATAAGAACATATTGCAATTTAGATTGACCCGTTTTGATTTTTTTTTGTCACATAAAGGGCATAAAACCGTAGAAATCGCTAATCGCAAATCGCAAAATAGTAAAAAAATATTTTGGACTTGTATTGCCATTTTTGTTAAGTCTATAGCATGTAGATTACATCGCAGAAAACATACATTGGAAATACTATATTGATTATGCTTTATTTTTTGCAAATATTTACTGGTGCGTGAATGCACGAATGGTTTTATCTGTGAAACAAAACTTTGTTATTGCAAGTCTAGACAAGTCAGCGCATGTAGAATAAACATCCAACAATTAGCGTGTTCTTTAGTATTATTTTGTACCTTGTGCAGTGAACGTTACCGTTCGTAAAATAGGGCATTTCCGAGGTATTTGACTCAAAAGGAATTAGAGGCGGCTGTGGAGGAGGTCGTGATGGATGAGGGCAATAATAATGAAAGTCGTAAGTATTATTTGGATTTACATATTCTTGTGTATTGTAGCATATCATTGCTTGTGAATTTATGCGAAAAATAACGTGAAAAATATTTACAGAACAGATTGACGCGGTCTATATTCCACCCGACGTGGATACCTTGACTGACGAAGAAGATATGAACGATAACATAAATCTACAAGAGTTTGGGGAACCACCTGATGTAGTTGGAACTTTCGAGTTACATGTACCGAATGATACAGCTGTCCTTCAGCAGTCCTGTAATTCATCAACTACTGAACCGGAATGGGACTCATCAGATGATGAAACCTTGGAATTCAAAAGAAGACGTATGATTTCTGCAAACGACAGGCTTGATTCCACTGTCAAGTGGAAGAAAGGTCAGATTAAGTACACTCACACAACTATATCCGATGAGGATGTGTAAAGGAACCAAAAAATAGGCTTTCTGGGAAAACTCCGCTTGTAATATTTTTTATGTTTTTTGATGACGAAGTGATCGATTTGACTTTAAATCTTACAATGCTTTACGACTTTTAAAAACCGATGAAAGAATTACTTAAAACAAATCTTGCACCTGCCATAGAAGAAGTGCGTTATGATAATCAAGGTCACCTCAAGATTGTTCATGCTAATAAAGCCCGAAGGAGATGTAGAACTTGCCACAGCGACTCAATTTACGTTTGTAATAAGTGTAATGTGCGTTTACAAACTCCATGCTTTGTAAAATATCATCAAAAATGAAACCGGGTGTTACCAGTGCTGCGCTCACGCATATATTCTGTTATCAAATCAGGTTCTATTTGGAAAACAATCTACTTTTAATTGTTTATTGTTTTCTGTCGAATTTGAACTTTCTTTTGTATATTCATGTATAAATTATATGTTACATCTTATGTGCCCCAAAAATATTATTTAATGTTTTTTCCCAGGGGTTCGTTTACACACCGGTATTTTTTTGTATGTTTAGAGTTGTTTTTTTTTAAACACATGTAATGTATCCTTAAGTGCAACAAAAAAAATAATTTCAGAGAAAAATAGGATTTTTTTATTTTTTTTATGCTTGGGATAATATGGGTTAAAATCTTAAGAACGATACGTATCACCCGATGTTAAAATAAACGCTTCTACTTAGTCCAAAATACGCCGCAGCATCAATGCTTAATTAAGTATAAAACGGTCCATTTACCTTTCGAACAAAAACTTCGAGTTTCCACATCCACATCTGTTGACATGGGTTTCACCACGGTCCTGCGAAGGTGTGCGTGCGGTTATGGTACTGTAAAATACTTAAGACGTCAAAGCAATAAATAATAATAACAATAATGATAATAATTTTATTCACTTATTGATATACCATGAAAAGAACACGGTTCGGATGAACAAAATAAGATATTTTGTGACTCCGTTTTTAAACCTATCCTAAGAAGAAGGTAGCAGCGCCAGGTAGGAAAAATACACATAAAAAAAATAAATATCTAGTACGATCTGTGCAAATAGAGGGACATACACTTTGAAAATAGTATAATAATAATTCACGCAGGTGTGTGGAAAAGGTATTTTTCGCAATTTAAGAGACTGATCCAATGCATTATATGTTTTAGCCATTCATATGTAAAGGATCTTTCAAAAATGCCCAATATTTTTGGTCGTACAATATAAGCATAGCGTAACGTAAGCAAGATCGAGCAAAGTGTAAATCTTAACTAAATAAAGTAGCAACGCCCGGTATAACGGCCGATGCTACCGGTCGCGAACCGGAAACGTACGTTTTAACAAATTAAGCCTTTTGTCCTTGAATCGCGAGGCACACGATCGTCTACGGCCGCGAAACGATGCGCGCATATGAATGAGTTCCGAACGAGCTAATAAATATATTTATATTTATCGAGTACGGCGCGTCGATATGTTTTTGCGAGGGATTATTTTATACGTTACTAATAATGATTTATGTCGCTCGCTGTTTCTGCTTAGTTTGTTTCAATATAATGGCGACTAGATGGAATTTGAACGCCCCGAGTGGGCTAAACATGTGTATTTATTTATTTATTTAAGCAAGTCTTCCCAACTATAACAATAATAACAATATTAACAACAAGATTGCTTTCGAAAAATCGCAATTAGCGAGAATCAGCTTTTTATTTTAAAAAGAAGGCAGTTCGCGGATTCTTGTCTTAGAGGGATGCGTTGTTTTTGTATCGTGTTCCTGCGGACCACTATGGAACTTTTACAAAATCGAAGTAATTTTATTGTGAATACACCCTGTATAAAGTGTCCTTCACATGTCGTCGAACTTCAAAGTTACGGAAAACTTTGACGAAACCTTAAACTATCTCTCGACACAGTTTGCGATTCTGTTCATATCAAATTATAACATCTTTAAAAGTCCAAAAGTTCAAAAGCGGAAATTTCTAGGATCTATTGCAATTTTTTGCCCATAAACGACGTACCCTGTATATAATTACAACAATGTTCGAAACAGAGGCTATAGCCCTGGATCTCCTTAGTATCCTGGTATCCAAATTTTTCCAATGGAGTGAATGGTTTTCAAAAAACTACTTGTCTTCTCAAACCATGCAGTACGTGGTAAAAGTAAATGACGTCATCCCGTCTAGATTGAGGGCGAGAAATGGTGATTTTCAGTTGGATTTTTTCAAATATCTCGAACAGCGTAAAAACCTTAAATACAAAAGTTTTAGCTGTCTATGAAATTAATATCTAAAACACAAATTTGAAATGAATGCCAATTTTCACTTTTTTTAAATTTGCAGCGCACCGTGTATATTTTTGAAAAATTGTAAAAAATAAAAGTTTATTATAGTATTATCCTATGCGTCTTTTGGTTCAAGAATTTTTTCGGTCTTGCAAACGATTTTTGAAAAACTGTCTTTTTTGTAGGCCCTTGCACACGCGATTTTTAATGTTTTTAAAGCACTTCCCGACCCCGCAGCCCCCCCATTTTCAATAGGTTCCGTCACAGGACAAAACTGCATATATGTGCCAAATATGAAGTCAATTGCTTCAAATTGTTTCATAGTCGTCATTGTCGTGTTTCATAGCAATGTTCAAAAAATCGCGAAAAAAAGATGGATGCCGCCGTCGGATCGAGGTCATTTCTTACAAGCTTATGTATCTCGAGGAGGGTTAAAAAGGAAACAAATTTGAATTTGGTAGCTCAAACGGTTCGAAAGTTGTTCAGGAAAAACCAAAAGACGAGAACGGAGATTGAAGAACGAACAAACGGCCAAAAAAAAAATTTTTTTTTCGATGCTGATCATTTCAAACACTTCCCGACCCCCTAACCCCCACAATTTCAATAGGTTCTGTTAGAGGACCAAATGCTATTAGTATAGGAATGTCTAAAAATAGTCGAAAATCGAAAAATAAAAGATGGACGCCGAAGATTGACCCCCTTTTTTTACATATCTTATGCACCCCGTGTACTGTTAAAAAAGAGCAAAACTTGGAGCGTGTTCTCGTCGAAAAACCCTGCAACAAAGAATGGAGAACGGACAGACAAAAATAATTTTTTTTCGACGCTGATTATTTCTATGCCAATGGCGGTTTTCTAGGACCTACCGTTACCGAGAGTTTAGTGAGGAGCGCGTATTCATTCTAAAAGAATCGATTTTATCAATTTTTCGAAAGTAATAACAATTATAGTAACAGAAGCATGTTATTAGGTAACTTAACTTAAAGTCCCTAAACATAGGCATTAAATCTAATGAAAAAACAAGTGAGTAGGAAAAGATTGAAATTAATAATTATAGTTAATGTGACATTAACGTTTTTATTTTAGTAACAGACTGCCAAAAAAGTCCAAATCGTGTCCAACATTGTATTTGGAGCACAATGAGAAAATATGTGAAAATTTTAAAATATTAGTTCTTGGTGTGGGCAGAAAGAATATGTTAATATGTCTAGAATTAATACGGGGAACAGGAAAATTTTTATCTATATAATAGGTCATAAAGTATCCAACATACCTATTGAACAGAATATACGAATCGGGTAAAATTCTCTCTCTAAAAAAAGTACGCCTAGAAACTATGGAGACTACAGACTTATAAGCCCAATGAGCCATGCTCTGAAAATTTTCCTCCTAGTTTTTCATAGTTGAATATATGCCAATGAGCGGAGAAACCCAGTTCGGATTTATCAAGGGGCTGGATACAAGAGAAGCTCTCTTTTCAATGAAACTCCTTATACAGAAATGCTACGATCACAAGACTTTTGATAATATTAAGCACGATCTTGTTTTGGAAAGGTCATTTGAAATTGGCTTAGATTCGAAGGACATCAGAATAATTCAACAATTGTACTGGAAACAAATTGCAGAAGTGAAAATAAACGACAAAGTAATTACAGAGACATTTTCTATATCCAAAGAAGTCCACCAGGGATGCATTTTATCACCAACCTTATTCAATAACTACGTAGAAAGGATTTTCCAATTGGCTCTGGAAAGAGAAAATCTTCGGCAAGCTGAGAACGGAACCCTACATATTACATAGATAATGCATAAGTGTAAAGGATCGTCAACGTGCATCCATTCATTAATATCACAATTGTACGCAGGAGATCAAACCACTGATGCATACTCCAACATAGACCTGAAGTATGAGATATACAATATTTTTATCGCTTCTGTATTTTTAAAGCCTCTGGTGCAACGTACGATAAATCCATAGCTTTTTGAGGTTTCTGCCAGTAACTTATTAACATGGGGAACAAATGTCATATTTCACAGGTACACTCATTAAAAAAAAAATACGTCGTCCGCATATATTCAAATACCGACATCAAGGTCTTTACCGATGTTATTAACGGAAGTGTTAATAATGGCCCCAATTTAGAGCCTCGAGGAACACTTGAGGAAGCAATATATTCAACGGAAGTGTAACCATAGAGATAGACCTTATGAGTGCAGTTAGACAAGTATTAAGAAAACAAATTAACAATCCATTCGATTATACTTTTGTGATACAGACGATCAAATGCTTTCGAAAAATCGAAATATATGACGTCCATTTCAGAACCTGAATCATTAGCTTCAGAAATGTATTGAGACATAGTCTTTAAATAGGAAATTGTGGAAAAAATCCATGATGTTGGGGAACTATTTGGTTCTTAACAACATGAAATATTTTGTCCTGTAAGAGACCTTCTTAAACTTTACAGAAATTGCAGATAAGGGAAATAGCCCTATAGTTTGTGATTTGCGATCTATAGTCTTTTTTTTTACAGGAATAACTTTTTCCATATACCATATACCTTATTTCTTAGACACATATTAAATACTATTACAAGCGGTTTAGCTTGAATAAAACGACAGTCAGGTCATTGTGAATTTAGGTTTAATTACATTAAGAGCTGTTTTCAGCTGATATTCTTTATGTACATATTTTCATAACCGTTTCCGCCTGAGATTTCTCTTTTGTTTCCAATAAACGGCCAAAATTTTTTTCAGATTTTATCTTTGATCTAAGGCATTTAAAATTTTGCAATTCTGACTACCCGTACTTTATTGTATTGTATACTATATTTGAATGAAACCAGGGCGGACACTTATTATTAGCTGACTCTCCAAAACGAGGAATACATATCTTCATAATTTCACACATATAATTATAAAACAAGGAGAAGGCGTAGATGACGTAAGACGTTGGTTATTAACTGCCAGTAAGACTCCGCCACCTCTGCATGTAATGGGTGTTTTTCTTCGATGTATAGAACTTTAAGTTGGCATTATTGTTCAAGATGGAGACCGATTTAACAGCTGTCAAGTGATTTATTCTCAGTTTGGTTTAGCAATTCATCATGAATAGACTCACGCCTGAACAACGTTTGCAAATAGTGCCCAAATGGGCCCAAAACGAGATTGTCGTTGTTCCCG